GGAGGTTTCACCTCGAACGCAAAGTCCAAATTGAAAGTACTTCTTATTTTTCTTTTCTCTCGTAACTTCTCCTAAACGAACTAATTACTTACTGATTATCTTATTATCGTCTATAAGCTTGCGATCACCTTCATCGTAAGGTTCACCTGTAGTACTTATAAGATAAGCTACATTATTTTTTTGTGTATGGACTGATTCTTTAATCTCTACAATATTTTCGCTAATCTTATCAAAATTACTTGATTCATCGGAATCGCTAATTTCAGAATCATTCTCGAGCTTATTATCTTCAAAAATAGGGGAATTTTTATGAATAGGTATCTCGGGTGCTGCTTTTATTTTTCCTTGTACTTTGTCTTCATCTTCAACAATATCACTTTTTTCATAATCAGGTAATTCTTTTCAAGTTCTTTGTGGATATTTTCTGGGGGTGACGGCATTTTCATCGTTGTGAAACGATTCTTTTGTCACAGGATCAAGGTTAGAAGTTAACTTCAAGGCTTGATCCTAAGGGACCTTTTTAGGTCTACCACGTGATCTCTCGATTTCGTTATTTGGAGGCGGTGGTTCAGGTTCGATATCTGGTTTATCGGGTGATTCTAGTTGTTTATTTAATTTACTCTGCCTCCTAGTAGTAACGTTTACATAAAAAATCATATTATCCTGGCTCGCTAGTTCATGCGGGTTTCTCAATAAGGTATCCGCTGTTGCATTAGCGGTTCCTGGCCGATAAATCATTTAGTATTCTAGTGTTAAGATCGGCGGTTTTAAACCAAACTAAGGGCTGATGGTCGGTAATAATAATTATCGGTCTACCGTAGACATAAGACTTGAAAGCATTAACACTTTGTACCACTGCTAAGGCTTCCTTTGCATAGACTTCATAATTCAAGTCTGTCCCGCGCAAAACCCGCGAAAAGTATGCGATGGATCGATCAGTGCCAATTCGTCCTTGCGAAAGGATTCTGTTCTGATAGATTCACTTCTGATATTATATCCTCTAGACAAATCCGGGAATTATAGAAGAGGAGCATTACAAAGTAGCTCTTTTAATTCGCAAAATGCCTTTTCAGTCTTTTCGTTCCATTCAAATGGGATATCTTTACTTGGAAGTTTCGTAAGAAGTTTAAATATTTTGGCGAAGTCTTTGATGAATCGTCTATAATATCCAGCTAAACCTAGAAATTGGCGAATATTTTTAATGTTTCTTTGCCTGAGAAACTCTTTGACGGCTATGACTTTCTTTGAATCAACTTCCAGACATTCTGCACTAATAACATGTCTTAAATATGTAACCTTGTGTCTAAGAAACTTACATTTAGTAATCAGTAATTTTAATCCTGCTTTTCTTAATCGATCTGCTAACAATCCAAATTTGCGATCATGTTCATCAATAGTGTTAGCATAAATTACGATATCATCCAAGTATATAAATAAGTCTAGTCCTTGTAGGCCGCGAAGCAGCGTATCCATTAGACGTTGAAAAGTTGTCGGTGCATTCTTCAACCCAAACGGCCTACGAACAAACTCATAATGGCCGAACGGAGTACTAAAAGCAGTCTTATGTGCATGCTTAGGATGCATTCGAGTTTCGAAAAACCGATGGTTAAGTCTAAAACTGTATACCATTTAGCGCCACCAACTTGATCAAAAATATTACAGATATATGGTATTGGATAAGAATCAGCGATTGTTTTCTGGTTGAGTTTTCTCATATCAAGTACCATTTTGCCATTTTTATCAGCGGCTTTTGGCACTATCGAAATAGGTGTGTTATAAGATGAATTTGACTCACGAATTTTTCCGGCTTTCAATAACTTATTAACATGATAATTTAGTTTATGTTTCATGGCATGTGGAAACTGATATTGTTTACAATTAATTGGTATTTCATCCACAGTATTAATTTTATGTATAACTAAATTAGTGCCAGGCAAATCGTCAGCAGGTAGGTAGAATACGTCTCTGAACTTATTTACTAATTCAACAACGTACTCTTTCTCCTCTTTGTTCATATGATCTAAATCCAAATGTTCTTCTATTTTGGTGTTAGACCCCTTACTTTCGTCTTCAAAAAATAAATCCTCTATATGGAAATCATCCAAATCATCTGTTTATTGAATGTTCAGATCTTCATACGCTTCCGTCGTTGCTATAGTTAAAACATGTTTAACGTCCATACTATTGGGTGGATCGAGCGGCACTAGTTCTTGAAGAAGTCTATCAAATTCATCACTAGTCATTTTATCATTCTTTATGGTTTTTACTTCATGTTCGTCGAGTATCATAGGTACTACAAAGTTTCTTGCTTTGAATGTTTTGTGATTAAAATCAAGTACAGTATTTGAGTCTTCAAAAAATAGAGCACCTAATATACCTTCACTTATCATACTAAAATTATCATCAACTACATGAAAAACTGTATTAGTCCCGAATAACTTTATTTCTGTAATTCCTAATGTCATTTGCATGTTGTTTCCAATACCTCTTATTAAAATTATTTTCGTGGTATCCATCTCATTTCCTGGAGGCAATAGGTGTTGAGATTAACAAGATTAACTTCTGACCCTGTATTTAATAAGAAGTATTCTTTTGAGTCAGTAGGGGGGTTAATTATTCTGATTTTAGGTGATACTTTATCTATATCCTTCATTTTGGCATTGTGAACAAAACAGAAACTAGCTTGAGCGGGATAGTTGATTTCTTCAAAGTAGAGTCTATGATTGCCAACAATGAATTGACAGGTAGAAAAATCAATAATTGCCTCATTTTCCAGCGAATATCCGGCTCTAAGAACGGCTTCATTGGGTATTGGGAAATTGCTCGGAACAATTTGAAATTCAGTGGCTTTTCCGGAAATTGACAATTCCAATCAATCCTCCTTTAATCTATATCTAAACCTACTCAAAAAAAACTTTACGATCTTTCGGAGTGAAATCCGGAAAGTGCGCAACAAAGGGACGAGTATTTTCATTTGTTCTTCTGTCGCTTCAGCTGACTGCTCTCCTTTTTCTCACTCACAGAGATAAAATTTAAGCCACGTATTAAACCCATATACACGCAAAAGCACACGAAAAAAAAAATTTTATTGATAATAAAAGGCCTGACGTTACAACTGCGTACTATACACCGGACACGATCCGAACAACAATAGTAAACTCATGGCAAAGCAATGTAATATCACCGATAAAAAATTTTAGCCTTAAAGATGCAATCACCTTTGTACTGAAATTCAACGGATTTAATATACCGTTACATCAATTTATAGACGGATGTCGCGAAGTACGTAGCATAGTGCCAGCAGTAAATGAAGGTGACCTATTCAATTCCTTTCACAAAGTTACGTTTTGAATTATCAATGTGTTTTAAATGGTCTTGTAAAGGGTAATTTTAAGTATATTAGCTTCTGATCCAGTATCAATCATTATTTTCATACTTTTATTTCCTAAAAAGTTAGCACTTATTATAGGAACTTTTGCAAAAAGTCTTGAAATTAAGGGACTAGGCTGAGCAACATTTCATTGTTTTCGTTCAGTTGGCGTACTTGTGGTGTATTGGTCCTCTGCATTGCTCTTTATTACAGAGTTGACATAAATTGATAATTTTTGGATTTGATACTTTGTTCTTGAATCCTGATCTAAGTACTGATTGTATTTCTAAATCTTTTTCTACTTTTATGGTGAGCTTTAGTACGTTAGTAGGGGTGACTCCGGGAGCTAGATTTAATTGGATTTCCGATTTCAATCCTCTCTTGAAACACTCAAAAATATTTTCTTCCAGAGCATGCTTATATTCATTCGTAACTGATTCAATTCCGTCAATTTTTCTTTTAGCATTAATGATTTTTGTCGATAGTAGTCGCAGCCTATTAGCGAAAGTTCATACTTTTTCATCATCATGCTGAAATTCATTTCCTAATTCACCTGAAAGCTGGTTAAGCGTTTGGGCAGATCCGAAAATATCCGCTAGATGTTCTAATAATTCACCAAGAGTTCCAAAATTAATTCTAATTAATGTATCTCTAGCTTCTCCTTCTAATTTTATGTGTGTGTGTGTGTAAAGGTACCTTCAATGAGTTTGTAGATCATCGTTTTACGGAAAGATTTTTTTCCTTTTAGCCCTTTGCCACTATACGAGGTGTGTTCAAAAAATACCCGGAATTTTCAAATTTTGCGGGTCTGGAGAGTCCGATTGTCAAAATTTTTTTTTATTGTATTGGTATACATGCCCCTGAAGTATGATAAAATTTTCAGCTATATTCACTATTTACTTTGTCTGCGGTAGTCGCTAAGGTTTGACGTGTTTTTATGAGCTTGGCGATTTTCGTTTTTTAAAAGAAATAGATCAAAGAATTTGTATTGAATTTTGCGTAAAAAATGAAATAAATGGTAACAAAATGTGTGAAATGTTACAAAAAGCCTATGGTGAGTCTGCTATGAAAAAAAACAAGTGTTTACGAGTGGTATAAGCGTTTCCAAGATGGCCGCGAAGACGTTGAAGATGACGAACGCTCCAGTCGACCCAGCACGTCAACAATCGATGAAAATGTGAAAAAAGTGGAAAAAATGGTTCTGAATGATCGCTGAATCACAATTAGAGAAGTTGCTGATGAAGTTGGCATATCAATTGGCTCATGTCATAACATTTTTTCAAATGTTTTGGGCATGAAACGGGTGGCAGCAAAATTCATTCCAAAACTACTGAACTTTGACCAAAAAAACAATCACATGAACATCGCTCAGGAGCTGTTAAACGACGTCAACGAAGATCCAAGTTTGCTTGAAAGGGTCATAACTGGTGATGAAACATGGGTGTATGGTTATGATGTCGAAACCAAAGCACAATCGTCCACCTGGAAGCATTCAACGTCACCAAGAGCGAAAGAAGCACGTCAAGTTCGATCAAATGTGAAGGTTTTGCTTACAGTTTTCTTTGACTGCAGGGGCGTGGTGCATCATGAGTTCTTATCACAAGGTCGTACGGTTAATAAGGAGTATTACCTTGAAGTTATGCGACGTTTGCGTGAATCAATCCGAAAAAAACGCCCCAATTTATGGAAAAACAATTCATGGCTTTTGCATCACGATAACGCACCTGCTCACTTGTCGTTGTTTGTTCGTAATTTTTTGGTCAAAAACAATACCGTAGTCGTGCTCCAACCTCCATATTCACCAGATATGGCTCCGTGTGACTTTTTCCTGTTCCCAAAGTTGAAGAGACCCATGAAAGGACGGCGTTTTTCCTCGATTGAAGAAATAAAAGCCGAATCGCTGAGAGTACTTAAGGACATAACAAAAAGTGAACGCTGGCATAAGTGTATTATATCTGGCGGGGATTACTTTGAAGGGAACCACATTGATGTAAACGAATAAATAAATATTTTTTTGGAAAAACGATAATTCCGGGTACTTTTTGAACACACCTCGTACATTTGCTGTATGGTAAGTGACATAATGCTATTTAAAGCGATTCTTACAGAAAGCTTCCAATCTGTGAAGACAATTTTTTCTGCTAAAAATTTTCTCTGAAAAAAAAAGTATTTTATGAACGTTATATTTCATATAATATCTCGATTCACAGCAACTTACGAACAATTAAGTCAATCTTCTTACGGTTTTTACTTTGAAATTTTTGCCTTCTTCCCCTTTCAATCTCCCATCAAATTCCAGGAACGATTGGAGATCTTGCAATTTAGTGAAGAACTCTTCCAGATGGTTCTTCACCTCTGACCATACCTCATCTGATGATTGGCTATACGCTGAAACACCTACTTCGTTCTTACACATTTTGAGAACGATTTGAGTTTTGCACGCTGGAAATAATACGAATGTTTAAAGGAATTGAAAAAAAAATATTTCTCGCACAGTACATATATATATATATATATATGTACATATATATTTACATATATATATATATGTACTGTGCGAGAAATGTTTATATATAGAGAGAGAGAGAGAGAAAGAGAGAGAGAGAGAGTATTATTTTAGAATTTATATTTTACATAAAACTATATAACATACCATCAAGTTTATTTAATTTTTTTTTCAAATTGCTGTAATATTCTGGTTACAAGGTGAATCGGGGAATCTAAAATATATAAAAAATATTATTTACAAGTCAACATGCTGCGAGTTTTCGCCGCAAACCATCCATAACGTGTTAATAATATATATTTCCAAATCCGTCTGGTTGCACGAGAGTATGAATTGTCGCTATTTTAGAATTGTGTAATAAAAATAATGAAACTTACCAGTTTCAGTGAACCTCATCATGTTCGTCCAGACAACAGACTCTTCATTGCAACTTGAAACCTCATAGCCGTTATTTTCTTCATGCAACACCGATTCATCCTTGTTGCTTGAATAAGCTCGATCTTCGGGTGAACCTTTATCAGCAATCGTAGTTACTAAATTAAAAGTAAAAGAAAAGATATGAATTGTATTTATAATTTTTGAAATTTTTACAAATTATTTATTTTGTTTGCTCACTTTTTGTAGATTCATACGAAGTTTTTTGGTGTTTGGTTAGTACGAATTTGCCGTATACATTTTTTTCAAAAAAATGTCCCGCTTTTTCCGCTTTTTCTCGGTAACATGTTTGAAGTTGAAGCCTGATTTTGATTAATTTCCTTCAATGCTGTGACTTCAGCTGTCAAATATTTTCGTGAAATAATATTCTCAAGTTTTTTTTTTATACGTTAAAAATAAACTTTAAAAACAAACCTCTTCTTACTCGCATTACTGGCACACAATAAGGCTGACAACTGAGTGGTGGGAGGCAACTGTTGAAGAACACCTCTGTTATATTTTTCATTGTCATCTCGTTTTATTTTTCTTATCTTATGAGTTGAAATTTGTGCATTTTTGTTCTCACTGTTCTCAATGTCGTTATCGGAAAATTTTCTTCGCCTTTCTTTTCTTAGTAATTTATTATTGAACTCATCAAACTTGGCTTCAGCTGATCCAGATGAGTGATCTTCACATACCTTCACATACAGTTTAACATCCTCATATGTATTACTAGCTGTAAAATTTAAAAAAATGATTAATTATTAATATATACATCATTCCTTGTAGTTAAATTCATTGTCACAATTGATTTTTGAAATTATGCTAGAAAGCCTGAACTATAAGATTTGAATTTTTTAGTTTTACGGTCTAGAATGAGGGCTTTTGTCATCTTTTTTTTATTATTAGCAGCAAGGTCGAAACTTGAACATTCCAAATGGCCGAGTGGTAGCCAAGATATTGAATTTGAATAAAGAAAAAAAAAATTTACTTGTATCATGCCTCACTTTTATCAGAGGTACAGTACGCTAATCAGCATTTGGTGTTTTTCTTTTACTAATAGCTGCATTGCACTCAACATCACTGATGTAAGGAGGCCACATTGTCATCATTTTTTCTTTATCAATCCAAAAATCTGGCACTATTCCTATTGCACTTTTATCTTCAGCAAAATTCACTACTAGACACTTTTTCTCCTCTGCCATGAAGTTCATTGTAGATGTTTATGTAATATTTAACAAATAAGAATAATGGAGGATAATACAACGAGGCGAAATCACAAAAGGTTCTAGATGGAAATTCCAACAAGCACGAAAAATAATTTAAATGATGTTGACGAATATCTACAAATAAATGACACGAAAGTTTGACGTTTTAAACTTATCATGCACTAAACGCAACCAACAAGTTTGTACGTCTCCGCCTCTAGCTTGAAATTTTAGGCGCCTCTGATTGGATAGTTGAACTGCACTTGTTCACACTTGTCAAAAACTGAGCGGAAGAGCAAAAAGGAAAGTTCGAGAAACAAAGGCGCACAGACTGATGCATTTCCGAACTAAATTCATTCCACGCCGGCCGGTATAGTAGTCAAATGTTACAATAGTATAATTGTGATGCCATTGAAAAGTTTCGACAAATTCTATGTTTTTTTTTGCTTCAACAATCAAGATATATGAAGTGACTGTAAAATTTATTGTATAAAAAATTGGACGGTTGCAACTGCACTTGTGCACTCTTGTTAAAAACTAAGTGGGAAAGGAGAGAAAAGCGTTCGAGAAACAAAGAAGCACAGACTGTCGACTGATGCATTCCACCAAACTAAGTCCATTCCAAGCCGGCCGTTAAATAGTAAAATGTTGTTAACAATAGTATTAATGTGATGTGATTGAAGAGTTTTGACAAATTCTGCGTATTTTTTTCTTCAACAATAAAGGTAATTGAAATAAATGTAAAAGTTATATATAAAAGCACGTATAAGATATATAGTTGATAGTTTATCACATAGAAAAAGCGACATTTTTTATGCATATGTATTGATTAATTTAAATTTTGGTACTATACAGTTGGTATGAAATTTCAGAAAGGCAGTAAATAAATTATAATCATGTGAGAAAGCAGGTCGTGGATGCAAGCAACGAATATAGAATATTTGTTGATGCAAGTTATGACAAGCCGGCCAGATACATAACATCCAATAGAACTCTTTGTTTTACACCTAAGGAATGGAATTTAGATGACTAACAAAAATTGAATCATTATTGGTAGTGAGTATAACTTTTAATTAATTATGAATGATAAATTCATTTAAAAATATCAAATTGTTTTGTGAATTTTATTCAAAATATTGCGATTACTTTACAGATTTCTCACGTACAAACAACTATTTATTGATTGTTCTAAAATTGAGTGCATATCAAATGAAGAAATAAAATTACTTGGCTATCTTGTAATGCTATTATAGCATTTTCTACATGTATAGACAGTTATTGGACTACATTTATTGGCTATGACTTATTGGTAAGTTATTAGTGGCATTAAGTCTTTTTCAATATAAGTGATTGATTTTGTAGTTCTACATATTCTCAGTTTACGTTTATTGAATCATTCTATTATTGTATCATTATCATATTAATATATGATTTTTATTCCCTCGAATTTAAATTGATATATCATCCAAGCATATATTATTTATTTATTTAATTTTTCAAAATAATTGTCTTATGGATTTTATTTGAAATATTTTTATTGCTTTACAGATTGCTTTCAACCAACCATTTATTAATGATTTAAAAATTCAGTGCATTTCAAATGAAGAAACAAAATTACTCGGCTAATCCTTAATGCTATTATAGCATTTTCTACTACAAACAATTATTAAACTACATTTATTGGTTTATATATTATGGTAAGTTATTAATGGCATTATGTATTTTCAATTGCCTTTGTAGATCTATATATTTCATTGATAGAATGCTGAGTTTTCATTATAGTAGGGCAACCTTCAACTTTAATTTTTTTAAATAATTTTTAAAGTAGATTTTCTATAATTAATTAAATTATTATTTGGGCGATTAACTCGGATAGCCAATTGCATTCCGAGTTAAAAGAACGAAACGTGCTACAAAATTACTAGAGATGTGGAGTGTAAATGTCAAATGTATGCTATCGGAATACAAACGACTAATTATACGAGGGGGATCAATAAGTCTTTACAAAAAAAAGGAAAAAAAATTTTTGCGTATGTAATTTTTATTTATTTTTCAACATAATCTCCTTGAAGGTCGATACATTTTATTAAATGGCCTTCCAGTTTCTTTAAGCCGTGAGAAAAATATGATTTCTGAAAACCCTCAAAATAGGCATTTGTTTCGGCGATGACTGCATCATTCGACGTGAATCGTTATCCGGCAAGCTATTTCTTGAGGTTGGGAAATAAGAAAAAGTCACTGAAAGCCAAATCAGGCGAATATGGTGGATGGTCAATTAATTTGAACTTTAAATCATTAATTTTTACTATCGAAACTGCATACGTGAGAACTCGAGCATTGTCTTGAAGAAAGAGGCATTTTTTTTTGTTCAAGTGAGGACGTGTTTCTCTGATTTTTTCTTTCAGCTAACCTAATAATGACGCATAATATTATCCAGTGATCGTCTGACCCTTTCCCAAGTAGTCGATGTAAATGATTCCATATACATCGAAGAAAACTGAGGCCATAATCTTGCCAGCTGACTTTACTGTCTTTGCCTTATTTGGG